TTATAATAACAAATTATTACTATTAATATTATTATTATGGCATTGTCATTATATCCCAAATATCACAATTACTATTGGTCACACATTATATATATATATATATATTAAAAGATATAAATACATGAATTGACTTTATCAAAAGGGAGAGTAAAGACGTTTATAATGATACAAAATATTTTTATTTCAATTATATTCTGTTATTTTAAACTTTTTTTATTATTAAAGAATCATGTATCATGATTTCCACAAAAATATATTAAGGAGCACAACTATTTTCGACATTGATAATAATAATAAATGTTTCTTGAGCAGCAAATCAGCATATTTGAATGATTTCTGAAGGATCATGTGACACTGGAGACTGGAGTAATGATGCTGAAAATTCAGCTTTGATCACAGAAATAAATTACATTTTAAAATATATTCAAATAGAAAACAGTCATTATGAATTGGAATAATATTTCATTGTATTTTCACAGTACCTGCTTTCATTATTTAGAAACTGGGTTACTCATGAATGGATTACTTCCTAATTGGGGGTCCTTGGCATCACAAAACCCTGAATGAATGAGCCAAGCTTTAAACTTAGAGGTACTGACTTAACATGAAAGTGGCCACTGTTTGCAGGAACCAGCCATTGCCTGATTGCATCAATTTGTCTTTCAGTCCCAACTTTGAAACCGGCCCCCAGTGGAGACCAAACTCGATTAGGTCAACAGGAACCAGTTCACAGAATGCAAATTGTTGAATGAAAATGTCAGCTGAACTTCCCGTGACCTTAGGCTTTATGTGCTTGTAATACCATCACAGCCTGAGTGGAAACAGCTAATCCACTTTTTTTTCCATTTTGTGTGTTTCTCTCCCTCTCTCTGCGCAGCTCCATCTGCAGTGACTGTCATCAGGAAGGACCGAACATCCAGAAACAGCATCTCACTGTCATGGATGGAGCCAGAGAGACCCAATGGAATCATTTTGGACTATGAGGTCAAATACTATGAGAAGGTGGGAGCAGTTTAATTTTGATTCGCTGTGGGCATTCACTGCATTAACATTTTCATTTGAAGTCATCACTTTGCCCTTACATTTGGCATCATTAGCAATCTTGGTCCAGAGTGCACATTCATATACCTGGGAGCATTTCAAGGCATTAGTTGATGTGGCTTAATTTGATTGTTCGAGGTGAAATAGAGTCTGTCTGCTCTGCTAAGAGATGTTTGCCTGAAATTAAATTTTTAACCAATGTTACCTTAATTTTTGATTTCATTGAGTGAAACCTATTTCTTTTGGACAGTCTCTTCAGCCAACTAAACAGAATCACCCCAGTGATTCAAGTGTTTTTTAT